GCAGGAATTATTCACATAGCAAAGCTGACTTATAACATCTAAACTGACACTGGCTCAAGCTACTCCTGAAATTTGCAGCACCTTACCTAACATTACTAACATTATTTCTGGGGCACCCCTGGAGACAGCTATTGCATGCTGCAGCATAACATGACCTCTTATCACATGCTTCTTGTTCATGCAAAGCTCAGACATTTGACAAAGTAGAAAAAATGAAACTTCACGTGAACTTAAAAGGTCCCCAAGCAGAAATATTACCTTCCCTATATCCAACCTGCAGAGATAAGAGTTTAAATAGGACAAAACAATAGATGGTTTCCATACCAAAAATAGTTGTGCTGAAAAATAAGGTGGTATTCTAATCCTTTGTCATTTAAATTGCCATTTTTTGGTTTACATGGCATCTACATGCCATGTAGACAACCAGGAAGGTAACAGAATGCTGCCATAAAATTTATCCCCTGGGAATGCATCCTTCACATCCCCACAGCATTTCCTGCAGCAAAAAGATCCTCCTGCTTTATCAGAATACAATCAATGCAAGGATGTTTATTTTTTAATATCAGGCACTGCTGTTGAAAGGGGACCTGGACAAATAAGAATCTCATTCATTCTTCTTTTTTTTCTTTTTATGTGAGCACCACACTACTTTGAATAAAGACATTAATGGCACTGAAATGACAAGGAAAGAGCAAGTAATAAATACCTTAAGACTTTCTTTTAGCTTTTAAAATATTTTTAAATAGTTCTTGGCCACTTCCTAGTTGCAATTGTGCGTATTAATCAACACATTTTCCCTGGATGTCTCACACTGCTAGGAGTGCGGTTTTCTCTAAGCAGTTAATAATAAGAAAAGACATCAAAGGCCTACAAGATCCACACCACAAGATATTACAGTTTAAGGCTGCAGCTTAAATCTGGACCCACAGCTCCACTAGAATGGTCTTATGTCAGTGACCTAGGAGTAGCTCTCAGGACATGAATTAGCAGAACTGAATAAAACTGCCACTATCTAATGAGGATCATCTGTGCTCCTTTGCAGATTAGGAATCTCTTAGGTTTAGAAGCTAGTATCAGACATTGCTTTTGAAAGGAAAAAAAAAACAAGTTTCCACAAGCAACCAAAGGTCAAAGGATTAACTGGCTATTCAGCAGGCATGATTAACAGACACTCTAATTAGAAGACCTTGTGTAAACACTAACTCATCAGATCCCCACCATATGTATGTGGTCTTATCTATTGAATTCTATTGCTTCTTGTGCATTAACAGAACAATTTATTAAGCTTCAGCTAAATTAAGACTCTCACAGAGAGCAGAATTTAGTCATAGAATCTTTAACACTGGTGACCATACGCAAGTAGGAAAGAACACAGACTGACCCAAATCACAGGTTAAGTCGGTAGGATCAGCACAGTGGGAAGATTTTTTTCACAAGTAGATAGAGCAGACTGATCCTGAGGTCATTAGATGCAACACAGCATTCACTTTGTCACTTTCAGATTTACTTTCCAAGCTCACTGGTAAACCACTTGCTCCAAATATAATCTTGGAATAAGCAGCATTTAATTGTTAGTCACATCCTCTGTTCTGTTGTGGTACAATCTCAGGCACCCAAGAGACTTTTTTCCTTGACTTGTTTAAACCATCAAATTAACATTAGTAATCAAAGGTTTACAGTTCCTTCTAAAAGATTAGCTTTTACATGCAGCTAGTGTGATGGCTTCCCTTTAGCGCAACAATAATGACTGTTTATCATTACTGCTATTGAAGCTGAGGATCCAAGGCTGAATATTTAAGTTAAAATGGGATAAAAAAAATGAAGGAGATGCAGCTTTTGGTGGCGGATTCTATTTTGCTTCTATTTACCTGGGATGGAATTTTCTTTCTAAAAACCAAGATCACTATAGAGCTGGGCACTTATTAACAGCAGAAACAATAATAGACCTAAGCTGTTATCCCCCAAATCGCATCCTGCACTTTAACATGTATGGCAGGGGCTGGTGGCAATTCAACATTGGTCACAGAAGCTAAACTATCAGTAAGCCAACAGCAGTTTTGTGGCCTGGGGGACAGGCAGCAAAGAGGGGAGTGGTGGCCAGGTTAGAAGTGGCAGCCTACCTTCAGAACAAACTGCACTGGTTTGGCTCACCACTCTTTTTTTTTTTTTTTTTTTTAAAGTTGTCAACTTCTAACCTAAGTCATTACTTACTGGTTTGGGGTTGACTTCAGTAGAAATGAGCTTTAAAAGGCAGTTGAGAAGTCTCTGCTTGTGAAAGGGAGTACATGTGGGAAGAGCACTGGGTTCAGTTGTTTTCTCCCTGGAATCCTGGGTTTCTGGCTCTAAGACTGACAGCCAGTCATACTCCAGCTGCAGTTTGTTCGGCTTGCCCATCATGAGGTAGACTTCAGCCAGCGTAAGGCTCTCGGAGGTTCTAAGACTCCATCCCTCTTCTCTGACCTGTTGAGCAAGCCGGCTCGGGTCATCTTTGAGAGACTTTGCAGTAGATTGTCCCTGAGATGAAGGTGGAAATGAGGAGCTCAGCTTCTCTTGAGAGTCCTCCATTACTGCATCTGGTAGCTCCTTGGTACAAGCCTCAGGCTGTGGTCCCTGGCAGTGGCTAGCCTGAGTTTCAGATCTGGACGGGCCATTGCTGGGTGATGCTACCCCACCTCTCACCACCTGTGCTGAGCTGGGGTCAGCTGTTTCTGTGCTCCCAGTTGAAAGAGCCACAAGAGAAGTGCTCTCAGCTGAGGGAACTAAGTCTTTCTGATGCAGCCTGTCTGCACAAGAACATTTCTCTGGAACAATCAGGTCCTGACAGGACTTCATGTACCGTGGGAAGGGATCAAGCAGAGAGAGTTCTTCCACATCAGGGATCTTGCTGCAGGCACAAGTTGTGCTGCATGATGGTAGCACAATTGCTTCATCACCAACTGGGGCCTCCCGACCCTCAGCACAGAATGCCACTGGGATTGACTTTTCAAGACTCTCTCCTGGATCTTGAAGTCCAGAAGGTGGTTTATCAAGAGCGTTTGTGACACCAAGACTTGGAGCTGCCCCTTCTGCTAGGCCATTCTCTGGGGAGCCATCTTCAGTGCTTGCAGAAACTTCAGCTGAAGGCTGAGAGGTTCTGCCTGGCTCTGTAGTGCTCTCTGCCCTTCCGACACCCTTACCTTCTGTTCCCCGTGGGTATTTTAATTGTCCTCTGGCTGTCCCCTGACCACTTTGTATGCCTAGAATCTGTGCAGGAGGCAATAAGTGAGAGTCTTTTGTGTTCTGTTTGCATTTGCCAGTTTCCTGCCAATGCACTGTGCAGAAAGCTTTAGAGTGAACCACTCTGGCTACCCCAGGGAGTGGGCTCAGCGTACAGTTCTCCCCTGGGAAGAGATGAAGCATCACTTTCTCCTCTGACAAACTGCCTCTTGCTTCTGAGTCTCTGGAGTCTTGAAGTTGCCGTTCCTCTAGTGTTTTACGCTAAATATGCCATGTCAAAGAATATAACAATATACAGAAGAGCTGCAGTATCAGCTGGCCACTTTCCTAGATAGAAGTAGTCTCATTTGTAGTTTGGGAACCTGTGGGATACGTTCTCCACTCAACAGTATAATGTTTTATTATCAGGTTTATACTGATATAATAAAGGCTCCATATATCTCACAAATGCAAGAGCAATTTTCATTCATATTCTATAGCAAGGCCACACTGATCTCTGCTTTACACTTGTGCAGCAGACTAGAAATTACATAGCAACTGTGTTTAAACAAAAAGCAAAGTTTTAGCCAAATAATATGAACATGGAATTCAAATTCAGTTCAGTAGCCCCCATGTTGCACTTGGTTCTTTTGCCACGTGTAAGATGTTCCCTTGACAATTCTGTAAGGCTTAAGCAATAAAAGATTAAATTAAAAACGCCACAAAAGTAAAAAAGCATGAGAAAACTAAAAAGAACAGAAACTAGATGTTAACGGAGGAATAGTCAGTATCTTACATATCTTTATCCCACATGGATCAAAGGTTAAAGGTAGAGCTATCAAAAGTTAATCTTCATGATAAACAATGGGCTTGTATAATGTATAGGTAGCAGCAGCAAGTTTCCATCCCCATTGCCCAACCAATCTTGACCAGTTGAGACTAAGGAAATTAAATTATATCATCAGTCCCTCCCGACTACGCCAGCAGAGCCAACTATGATAGATGATTTTTCAGTGCATAAACCTCTCTGACCATATGGATCAAGTCCACCATTTAAAGGAATAGAAAAATAGTGAATTTCATATAGGATCAACTATATTTATCAAGGGAGAGCAATAAAGTATTGAGGCAAAGGAAAAATGCTTCCCCATTATCACTAGCTCAGAGAGATGGACCGTTTCCCATTAAGGGATCATGAGTTATATTTTAAGTAGGTTTAGACATCAGAGAACTATTGGGACTAGAAGAGGGAGGGAATTTCCCACAAATCATGGCATTCAGAGGAGTTAATCTCTAAAAAGGAAAAGGATACAATGCGCACTTCATGGAGAGCCCACTTCTGCTTCAGGAACTCAATGAGGCTGGAGACCTTCCGATGTAATTCCACTATCATTCTGCACGGGAGAGAACCAATACAAGAGAACACAGGACACAAGTCAGAAGAAACTCAAAACCTAGCCTGCTGCTGGAACAGAATCAAGAGAAGACACAGGCACAGTATAAATTAGGAGCAGAGACTGCAAAAAACATGTCATACAAAGTCATTCATACACCTATGTTTGCATGAACACTCTAACCCTACCCTCAAGAAACAAGAGGTAGTTTGGAAGTAGTTTTAGTGCACAGTAATAACATGTAAGGTAATTCATAATTTGTGAATGACCTCAAAATTCTCTCAAATAAATATTGCAGAGGTGATCTGAGTTTTCATTTACTTTTGGTCAAGACAGAAGACAGGTGGATAACTGAAGTACTATCCCTAGCAAATAGAACAAATCTGCAATAGCAACTGTGGCATGGAGTGTAAAACTGAAGTAAAGTTTCTCTCCCCACATTTTACCATAATATGTTGGTTGCTACCAAGAGAAAAGAAAATTAACCCCTTCCTAATCTTCCCCCTATCCTCTGCATCAATACCTTGATATCTTTATCTAGGAAATGTAAGTTACTCTGATCTAGAATCAAGGTGACTGCCCCAGGCCCCACACTTTGGCGGGCCCTGTGGAGCTAGGTAGATCAGCAATGATGCAGAGCTGGCTGGAGCAGCAGCTCCACATCCAGCTGCTCATTACCCCCCACCCCCAGCTGTCAATGGCAGTGGCAGCTTCTTTGGGCCTGTGGGATCAGAGCAGGGGCAGGGCCCGCATGGGCTGATTTGCCCCAGGCCCCACACCCTGCTCAGGTCGGCTCTGAGAACCAGTACTATGAGCCAGTGCTCTATCTGCATCCCCTCTGGAAATGTGGCACAAATGGTGCAAAGTATTAATATCTTAAACCCTAGTAAGTCCAGAAACAGCCTGGAGAACTCAAACAAGAACGCAAATTAGAGGGGATATAGCATAATGGTAATCAGAATGATGCAGTTCTAAAGTCTGATGCCACAAGACCTACCATAGTCTGAAACATCGTTAGCCAAAGAAAATGCTTTCAATATCAGCAATTTAGGTCCACTGCTCCTGGATTAGTGAGCGTTTTTATTTAACTCTTTGCAGCCTGCTTGGCAGACAGAATGACGTTGCAAAGGTGCTCCATTCCAAACCCAGACATTCCCTCCCCCATTCTGAAGACCTACTACACATCTTGTCTCTGCTTACCTGAGCCGTGGGTTCTGGGCAAGACTCTGCACCCGAGCCCACGCATGATTATTTCTTGGCTGCAACTCCACAGGCACCTTAAGAGGAAGACGCACTGGCTTCTGATCCTCCTCATCACTAATACCTAAAGGAAAAAGTAGCCCAAAAGCATAGGTCAAAGCAAGGAGCAAAGGTAACTATGCTCATTGTATAAGTCTATACACGAACGCAGAGGTTGAACTGATGTACTGGAATTCCAGCATGGCAATTGCTGTGCTCCAGCAGCCTCTTGCATCTCATCCATCAGTGTCCCCATGCTTAAAAATGGTGGTGGGGTGCTTGAACTAAAGCTTGTCAACTAAACAAGCTTTAGTTCAAGTGCCCCTACCACCATTTTTAAGCGTGGGGATGCTGATATAAGAAACACGGTGGTGCTTTAATTAGAATGGCTCTTGGAGCCACTCTAATCAAAGCGCCTTCCCTCCCACTCCCAGAGTATGTATAAAAGTGCCCTCAGTCCAAAATAAAGCTAAGTGCTCAGTCCAAAATCCAGCTAATGATGGAAGCATACTAAGAGTAAGCAGGCAGCTCAGCTTCACCAGAGCTTATTTTCTCAGGCCACCTCCAGTTCTGACAGACCAGTGCTTTCCCTGCATACTGTAGCTCTACTGGAACTTCCAGCTGACTAAGCAGTGTCAAAACAGACAGCTGGAAACAGACTAGGAATTTTTCAAAGTCTTAAAATGCCCTTAGTTTGGCTCATTGAAAACCAAACGAGCTGTATTGAAGTGAAGAGTGTAAACAAGGTCCAAACTGCTCAATACTCATTTGCTGTGTGAAAAAGGCAGCAAACTGCATGAGCAGCAACAGTTTATAGAACAACACAAAGAGAAGAGCTTCTAAAGTGGCAACTTCCTTTACAAACTGGTTTCTTAAATTTGCAGGGCACCCTTGGCAACTAGTGCCATATTCAAGGATTTGTGGAAATGGCTTGTTTCAAAGCAGCACTATTGGCCACACAAGAGAACAGGGCAAAAAGACTAATGGAATGAATCAGAGCCCCCTAAGAACATATGAGATGATGCATACATCTTTGATAGGAGAATTTGCACTAAAACAGGCCTACTCTCACTTGTATGCTTCAGACCATCTGTTGCAATCATTTCCATTCCAGTTTCTCTTACGTACCATCTGGATCACAGAGTTTCTTCAGTGCCCTACACATTGGAGCTTTGATCCGAAGATTTCTCCCTTTGTAGCGAACAGTCGTGGCCCTGAATGTATTTAAAAGAGAAATACTGAGGTGTAACATGAACAGAGCAACGTATACTTGTGCAGGTGAAAATGGTGAATGCATTCACCCCTACATGAATAAGCAGCAGTGCAGGTTCACAGGGTTTTAATTTCAACTTTGCCTTTTGTAGGCTCCTCTCTTCTCCTTCACTGCCAGACTCTCAGAAAGCACTGTACCCCAAGGCTGCCTAGCAAAGGAGCAATACCTCAAACACAGGACAGACTCGCATTATGTCATCCCAGAAGCAGATGGCCTTCAGAACCAGGCTTATCATTTTGGGGTGACTATAAAACTGCTTTCCTTTAGTTTCTCCCTTCAACTAAAAAAGCATGCCTCTCTGCACAAGACTCGCCTGCAGATTTTAAAGAGTTTTTAAATTTGGGATAATGCAAAAAATCCTTTTAAAGGCCATCACCAATCCCTGTACTGCAGCAAATGAAACCCAGCTGCTTGTGCTGGAGTCTGTGCACAGTAAACATTTATAGTATGCTTAACCTGGCTTTTAACTCCAGCACAACTTTAACAAAAAGCTCCTGAGAAGCAAGAACATATATTCTATTTTCCAAATAAGGAAGATATTATTTTAAATGTCTTTTCCCACTTAGACTGGCCACTTCAAAGCAACTGACTGCAATATCCACAACTTATATCATCAAGAAAGGGAATCCAGACCACTTACCAGCTGGCCAGTTGAGGAAAGCCTGTACAGTCTAGGAGGGAGGAAGTAAGAGCCTGTAGGCTGCTCGAACAGTGGGGCCCCACTTTCCTTATAATGTGGGGCAGCAAACCTCACAGGGAGATGGGGATGGAGGATGAGGTGGATTGGGATGTGGATCCTAACCAAAGCTGTTAGAAGAGGCTAACAGGAAGTGGGCTGTAGATACTAAATCAGAGCCAGAAGGGATTCAGTGGATCTGGGCCCACTCATTCCCTGATGTTTGAACTACCAAGCTGTGGGCTTCAACAACTTCAGAATCCTTTAAAGCTGCTAGAGCAGATTTTCAGAGTTCACATTTGGCTGCCAGAAGCTAAGGGAGCCCTTTGTACTGGCATCTTCTCCTGATAAACTTTGTTATACAGAAGGAGTGATGTTTTCTTTAAACTGGGGGGGGGGGGGGAAAGGGAGGGAGCAGGGGGAAGAAGAGATACAACCTCTAAAATAGTAATAAAAAGCCTTGCTTTGGAAGAAAAATCTACTTGTTAGATTTCAAACGATGCTTTCAACCCTCAGTCTGCCCTAGGCTGGCAACATAAGACTATGCAAGAACTGATATTCCTTACACTGACATGATGTACTATATATTGTTACACAGGCATTGCTACTTCTATCATCTAACTAAAACCTGGATTGTTTAGAGTTAGCTATCAGACCCTGTAGTCCACCAAATGCAACATCCAGGCTCTGCAAGTGACCAACACCTGACGTCCAAGAGGAAGATCCAATACACGTACCTGCTACTGAGGAATGGGACTCCGCTTTGACAACTGCAGTAATTACCTTATGCCCAAACCATAAAATCTGACCCCCCCACCCCATTTCTTCTAAAGCAATGGTTTTCAAACTTCCTAAAGTCACAAAACTCTTTCATATCACTACTTCTGCTGTTGAACCCCTACCCCTGGCTCTGCAGATTACACAAGCTGATGTGGAGCCAGGCGACCTACCACCTCCTGGCCTGCCCTGCCATTACTCCCAGACTCTTTGTGGAACCCCTGATGACCTATCACGGAGCAATTCTGAAAAGCATTTTTTCCAGTGCATATCCACAAACATTACTGATCAGGAAGATGTCAGAGTCTTTTTGAAAGACAATCAAGATCCTTGTAGGTGACATGCAAGTGCTGACAGTGTGTGTGTGGGGGGGGGGAAGCACAACTCGGCACTGAGCCCCTACACCCCATCCCGCTGCTGGGCGTTGGGTCCAGCCAGGCTGCAGATCCATACCCCATCACTGGCACAGAAATCATGCTGCTGCCGCCACCCCCACTGCTGCCAAGCCCTGGCTCTGGCCAGGCTGCAGTCCCATGCCTTGTGCCCTGCTGTCGGCAGAGAAACCTGGTGGGGCACATGTCGTCCCACGACCCCCACACAACATGTTGCCAATGAAGATCCTGCAACCAAGTTTATTCCATCTGTAACTAGGCCATTGTGTAACATATATAAGGATAAAAATCAGAGGACTGACCCTACATACAAGGAGCAAAATCTAGCTTGCTAACAGGAGGACTGCATTCTGGAAAAGCGAAATACTTCAATAAGAGTGGCTCTATTAGAATCTATCTTGCCTCAGTTTACATGGAAGAGGGCCAAGGTGTTCCCCATTTTCAAAAAAGGGAGGAGGGAGGACCCAGGAAACTATAGGCCTGTTAGTCTTACCTTGGTCCTGGGAAAGCTTTTCGAGAAAATTATGCAGGAGCACATCTGCGAGGGACCAGCAGGGGAGTGTATGCTTAGAGGCAACCAACATGGGTTCATCAGAGGCAGGTCCTGTCAGACCAACCTGGTGGCCTTCTATGATAACGTCGCTAAATCCTTGGGCGCAGGCGTGGCAGTGGACTTAGTCTTTCTGGACTTTAGAAAAGCCTTTGACACAGTCTTTCACCCCATTCTCATTAAAAAATTAGGCGACTGTGGTGTCGATCCCTCCAAGGTCAGATGAGTCGCCAACTGGCTGGAGGGCCGCACCCAGAGAGTGGTGGGGGACAGGTCTTTTTCGACCTGGAAGGATGTGGGTAGTGGGGTCCCACAGGGCTTGGACCTCAGGCCTGTACTGTTCAACATCTTCATCAGCAACGTGGACAAGGGGGTGAATAGCCCCTTGTTCAAATTCGCAAATGACACTAAGATGTGGGGGGAGGTGGGCACGCTAAAGGGGAGGGACAAGCTGCAATCAGATCTGGACAGGTTACAGAGGTGGGCGGACGAGAATAGGATGGGTTTCAACACTGACAAGTGCAAGGTACTGGCACCTGGGAAGGAAGAACCAGCAGCAGACCTACAGGCTGGGGAACTCCCCTCTCGCCAGCACAGAGGCAGAAAAGGATCTTGGAGTCATTACTGACTCAAAGATGAACATGGGCCGCCAATGTGGGGATGCAATCAGAAAGGCTAACTGCACCTTGTCATGCATCCACAGATGCATCACGAGCAGGTCCAAGGCGGTGATCCTCCCCCTCTACGCGACCTTGGTCAGGCCCCAGTTGGAGTACTGAGTCCAGTTCTGGCCACCGCACTTCAGGAGGGATGTGAGCAACATTGAGAGGGTCCAGAGGAGGGCCATTCGCATGATCAGGGGGCAGCAAGGCAGGTCCTCTGAGGATAGGCTATGAGGCACTACTTCACTGTCAGGGAGGCTAGGATCTGGAACCAACTTCCAAGGGAAGTGGTCCTCGCTCCTACCCTGGGGGTCTTTAAGAGGAGGCTAGACAGACACCTTGCCGGGGTCGTCTGACCCCAGCATTCATTCCTGCCTGTGACTTGATGATCTGCTCAGGTCCCTTCTGACCCTACTAACTATGAAACTACGGTGAATTAGTTTTGCCTTCAGTAAGTACAGAATACTTGTTCTTGTGCCTGACTTCCCAAGTACATGATCTCAGGCATCCAGTCTTCAAAGTCCCATTGGAGTCTGAAGACCTAGGAGGTTTACAGACATCTCTCCTAGTCACAGCACCACCATCTCAAGGGTGAACAGGTAGCTAAAGGCACCAAAGATTCTACTCTAGGCCCATCAGACAGCATGGCCCTAAAGATCTGGAAAAAGTAAGTAGGCCTGCTGTCAACCACTTGGTAAGTATTAAATTTCTCTAGTCATTATTTATTATTGTTTCTCTTTCCCCAAAAATAGTAACTACAAGCACTTTGCACAGCTTGCAAGGTTGTCTGGTTTCATTAGAACGCCTACAAATGTCCTTGTAGTCTCTGCTACCTCACAATACACAAAAGCAGTCTCTCTCAATGATTCCAGTTATGTACCCTAAAGCCTCCAAACTGCAGCAATAACACTGGATCCCTGGCCATAGTAGATAAAAAGATACCTTAACAAGCCACTGTTTGAATATCCAAAACTTAAAATGCACTGTCTCATGTGCTTGCAAATTAAAAAGTCCTGTTGACCCTACTGGTGCTGGCATCATATGAAATCAATGTCAGGTTGATAAGATATAAGAATGCATATCACAAATATAGGATCTATCATATCTATAATATCTTCTGCATGCACATGTCAAATCTTGACAAGAACAGATGAGAACAATACTTTCATGCAATGCAAATCAGCATCTTGGTAACTATTGCTTAGATACCTTTCTTAATATTCCTTCTTTAATGGAAAACACAGCAGAGTCATAATGTTCTGCATTACACCGGACCTGCATTTATGGCTTGACACAAAGCACCACCCTCAGGGGAAAGTGTCCCACTGAATTTAATTAACTTAGGATGAGGTCTTCAAATCTCAAATACTGTGGGGTCATAAGCTTCTGTAACTATGCTATCTGAGAATTGGTTCCGACACCTATACTTTAATTAAATAAATCCAAAATTTTCAACTAATTATATCCATAACATGATGTCAGGTGATATCAAAATACTGATAACAGTATTCTTGCATCATGCAGACTATCAGCTCAGTTTAAGTACTTGATCTTTGTCCAGCTAGGGTGCTTCACGTAAGATTTCTGTGGGTGCATTTACACGTGCATTTTACTGCAGAGGAGACTAATTAGCTCCACAAAGTGTCACCATCTACACGTGCACCAGTATTAAAGTGCAGTAAACTAATTAACTCTGACATAAGATAGTAATGTTGGGACAGTACTATCTTATGGCAGGGTAATTAACTGTGCTGAAACATGTGTAGACACTGACTAGGGATGTAAATTGTGCCTGGTCAGCCCAGCCAGACAGGGGCCTGCTCCGCTCCAGCTCAAATTGCTGTCCTAGGCGCACATGTAGACACTGTGCCTGGGAGTAGTTTA